GCCTTATAGGCGTTCAAAAGTCTTAATGTCCTTTATTCTGAACCAAGTAAGCTGCTTTGCGCAAGTATTAGAAAATGTTCTTCACTTCTTAAATGATGTTATTTCTGCTTTCGTTTTACGCAATCTGAATGATTTATTTCTTGGGCTGTTGGCATTGTTGCCCTTGGTGCATCATATGTTGTAGGAAATGAAAATTACCAATGTAATCTATATGACTATATATACCTATCAGTTGAGAAAACTGTTTTCCCAAATAAAACTCCACATTGTAATTAGGTAGATTAGCCTACTGCATCATCTCTATCTACATTAATCATTCATTATCTGTTATTGTGCATATATAACTTAAAATATATTTTGATCTAGAAATTATAAGAAGCCTAACATACTAAAGGCTGAAATAGTGTATCATATTTACCTATCATTGACATATCAGTGTAAATAGATACTCCGTACTAATTAAAATGAAATTCAGTGTTTTTTGCTATATAGCTACATTTCGAATAAAAATAGAACAACGCTTTAAATTTACTATATTGATAAATACTACGTAACTAAGTTAATGAACAATAAATTAAAAAAATCTGTGTGTATATATTATCCAAAATATACTTAAATCCAAATATTACAAAATTCACATCGTTAGTGAATTACATTTGTCATATTTTTAGTTTTCTTATCAAATTTAAAATATTTACTAATAAAAATGCCAAATATGTTTTTTGGTTGTCTATTTCGGTATATATACATTTTCGGTAATATTATTCATTAATTAAATAAATCTATAAAGCACACTTAAAATTTGAAACTGTTGTAGTCCGAAAAGCATCTTAGCATCATATATTTTTAGTGACAATTAAAGTATAAAACAATAATTAATACAATATCATTAGGTTGGCATGTGTTATTACTCTTTTTGAAAACCACAGCCGTCCTTATATACCGATTTTCAGTTTTTTTATATGAAAAATATTAGATAATAATAATGGTTTGGTATAATATTAGATTTACTGTATTAATAAATATTGAACATAATAAAAAAAAATTACGAATAAAAGATCTTATATACTCCCTATGTCCCTTATAATTTTGGCAACTTTCCATTTTTGGATGTTCCATTAACTTTGTCACTTTCTCTTTTAAGTAAATAATTTGTGGTTCCAGTTCATTCTCTCTCCTCTGCACAAACCTTAACCACACAGTTTTTACTTTATTATTCCACGTGTCAGTCAAACTTGACAAAGTTATTAGGGACAGAGGAAGTATATACGGTCTTGTTGAAGAAAATTCCGTGTAGTATGTTATTGTGTATATAGAATATGTATTATGACCATTCTATGTAAACTATGTATTATGGGCCCATTGGTCCGTCTCTGTAAACCCTAATACCTCCATGTTTATAGCGCCTTTGATAATGAAACTATACGAACAATTCTCCCTACAACACGTTATCAGCACCAAAGTTCTAAACCTGGTTTTTCCCTTTCTCTCTTTTCAAACTAGCCGACCTCTTATGGGTGGGTTGCTCAACCGCTACCACCAGCAAAGGCCATCGCCGCTCTCTCCAGCCTGCTGCCCCCCTCCCAGTCAATCGTCCCACTAGGTCGCACACCGCTGCCCTGAATCACGTCGGTGCAAACACCGCCGCCGATTAGAAACTAGATTAGGACAAATGTCCATCATCCCGTGTCGTCCAGCCTGTCGTTCATCCGCTTAGAAGTTCCCAAGAATGGACCCTAGCGGGATTATCCCCCAGGCATTGCAGCTCGCCTCCTCCACTCCACCAGATCTGGATGGTAATTCTCTGCCGGTCGCCGCTCTTCTGGAACCGCCATCCCTCGCTGTCGCCCACTTGATCCCGTCTTTGAAAGACGTCGCCCGTCGGATCTCGTTGTTTAAGACGCCACCCACCGGTTCCTGTCGCTGAAAGACGCCGTATAAGAATTTCAAGAATCATATAAACCAATAAATGCATATATACTCTACTTTAGTTACCATAAAAAGGGGTTTAATGCATCAAACCCCTTTGTGAAATATAAATTCGACACATTAGTCCTATGTGATTTTAAAAATGCGTCAAATCCCCCTGTGTTATAGTTATTCATGTGCAAAATCCTCTCTATGAACAAATGTAATTGTCAAATTAATGAAAAATGATTCGCATTTATGTATAATTTAGATATCTTAACAATCTACTGCCATATTCAATCGTATTATTAAGATAAATGATTTTAAATTTATAAAAATTGTTCTTGAAGGGGGTTTTGAGCATGAATAATTATAACACATTTTAAACCCCGGTAAAAAGTAAAATCAATTTCAATCAAAATGTCAAAAGGTGCTCTGTTCTTTAATAGTTGCAAATAGACCTACAGAAACATGGGATTGGGTCGGATTTTTCCCGGGCTTTTCCTAAACTTTCAGTTTATTGAATTGAGTGGCCCCAGCTTGAACCGCAAGAAACGAGTCTAACCACATGTTCTAACCACATATTCTTATTACTTATTGCTTATTCTTGTTAATATGTTTATAATGTTTACACAAAAATAGTCATGAAAAACTATAACTAAAACTTAAAATTCAAGAACAAAGTGTTTTTCTTAGTATAAAAAATTATATTATATTGGTTGGGCTAGTTTTTAAGAACTAAAAACTTTAATTTAAAAATAATAAACCATAAATCTATATAAAGATATAATAAATATATATAAATTAGTCAATGTAAATATACATGTGTAAATCTATATCTACATCTATATCTAAATAATATAATAAAGCAAATCTTTGAAAAACTCTCTGGAGTAATTATTTACATGTCACAACATCCTTTGAATGAAAAAAATGACATGTGACAACACAATAAATTAAAGAAAAAATTATTCAACTTCCAAAACTCTATTTTTGCTTGAAGGTATGTGGCAACACAATAATTTTTTTCACTTTCGCTCAACCACATCTTTTGTCCAATCTAGCATGGTTTATTGTGTATGTGTATCTGGCTTGGTCACTGGACATACGAACATTGGTACTGAAGGGGCAGAAGTCGCTTTGTTATAGGGCGAAATTTTTGGTAACTAATGAGTTTTGGCCATTGGTGAATTTTGGATTTTTGGTCACTAATAATTTTTTGGGATTTTGGTCACTAGCGGATTTTGGTCACTGACGAATTTTGGTCACTATGGTGTTACTGGTCACTGTGATGTTACTGTAGCACTAATATGGGTATAATAGTCTCCTAATCACTTTTTAGTCTTATTTATGGAAATTTGGAAAAAGGGCCACTTTTTGTCCATAGCTCTTTTTTAGTAATATTTTAGACAAAACCCCTTAAAAGTTCCCTACACTTCAATTTTTGGTAAGTTTACCCTTTATAAAATACTTAACTGCCCTTACTTTATCTACTTTTTATCTACTCTTTCATACTTTTTACACACTCTCTTCTACTTTTTCTACACTATTCACTACTCCTACTATTATATCCTAAAAGCTCGTCTCAAAGCTAGTGTAGGGTTCATTTAAATAGAGGGAGTATAGTATAACCCGGGGTACACCTAGCATCTACGCAGCACCAATACGGGTACGCGAAAACGGGTACGGGGATACGACAAAACCAAAAAGGACACGGGACCATATTTATAAATATTTAAAGTTATGGAGGTGTATTTATAAATATTAAAAGTTACAGGGGGTGTATTTATAAATATTAAAAATACATTTTTTTTTGAAAAAAAATATTATCCTCTGACGTCTAATACTCATTCACGGCATTGAAACATTTTACATTTTCAAGATACTTTGAAATAAGTTCATATTTTATCTCATATACACTAGTGCACCTCGAAATATAAATATAGTCGATAAGTCATTAATTTAAAATGAGAAATAAGTCAATCAACTACAGTTTTAAAATTAAAAGTGCAATTACTCAATGTTCTAGAAATAATGAAAATAGAAAACAATATTTTAAAAGTTCTAATACATATTTCTGTTGGAGCTATTAATTTTCAGGGATAATTAGAATTAGGGATATGAGAATGAGTGGATTAGGAATAGGTCCATTAGTTGTGTACCACATAATAGCAAGGTAAAAATTATTTTTGGCTTTTCATTTTTAAGGATTTTATTATGTAATTTTGAGTGTTTTTTTAAAAAGTTTTTTTGTGGAAGAGTTTTTTTTTTAAAGTTGATACTGGTATCCGTCAGGATACGGGTATCCAAAATTTTTAAAATAATTACCAAAAAATGGAAACTTTTAAAAATTACAGATACGACCCAGGAACGTACGATATGGGTATCCTAGAGTATCGGATACGGGAACATTTCCTATAGTCAATACGGCCTCCTATAGTCAATACCTATGTTGCACGGATACAGATACGCCGATACGTCAATACGTGAATACGGGTACGGCGATACGACAATTTAAAAAATTATAGGATACAGGTACGAGGGTAAATTTATAAATAATAAAAATATAGGGTATAATTTGCAAATATATATAATTCAGGAGTTCATAAATAAAATAATAATAATAATAATAATAATAATAATAATACAAAAAATCAACTACTCCATATTATAATAAAATTTCAAAGATTAGGCTAAAGAAACTAAAGTAGTGATATTTTTATTTAAATTCAAACAACATTTTTTTGTTCTATATTTACATTTACATCTAAATCTTGTTTCAATTAAAGCTCATCAAGTTCCCGAAATCATCTTTATCAATGTTCTACATCTTGTGGTCGCTTGGATGGCTACTAATTTTTTGTCATGTCGTGTATGCAATGAGGGTTACAGGGTCAGATACGCGTATCGGATACCGGTATCAGAAGTATCGGTATTTTTAAAATTAAGCCCGATACTTTTATTAAATTACGGATACGGATCCAATACGTACAGAATGCGTATCCGTGAGTATCAGGGATACGTATCGAACAAGGCATCAGGGTCAAGTATAGGGCTCGTTAGTCTAGCGTTATTGTTCCTATGTACTACGTGCAAAAAGCCCTTCAGTTTATCAACACACTGTGACCGCCGACGGTATTCAAGTTAATGCTTGTAGTAAATTTTCAACTCCGACACCTCAACCTGCATTGCATCATTAGGCATTAAGTATCTCTCTCTTCACACCCCTGCGGATAAAGGCCCTGCGGTGCAATCATTTTTGCAATCTCAGTCCTTACACTCTGCTTTTCAATGCCTATTCCTCCGTTTAAATGAATTCGTAGAAAGACTGAGAGGAAAAGAAAGAGGAAGATGATATTTTTCTCGATCCCCGAGCTTGTTATAGTGATCGCAGTTTCGGTTTCGAGATTGTGTTTCTTAGAAGCTACTACTGATCCCGTGGACTGTAAGTTTTATCTTTTCATCTTGAATTACTCCATTTCTTGAATTGCAGTTTTGGGTAATGCTGAATTTTCTGTGAAGCATTCAAAAAGGTAGGACTGTGTGATCAATGAGTATCTGAATTTAGAATGCATTATGCATGCTCAAGTTTAAGCCGTAAATTATTATTGTTAAAATTTGGAAGCATTGTTTTCTCACGAGGTATGTGTTTCGCTTGCTTTTTATGGATTTTTATAGTCAATGGTAGTTCAAGATTAAAACTTTACTATAAATAAAAGCATCACCTTTACTCCGTATAATTATGAGTTTCTAATTATGTGTAATTGTGTCCGATTATTCCCCACCCAGACGCTATGCTCTCATTTAGCGCCTAAGTTTTTTCCACGCCCACCTAACCCGGAGCCCTAGATCCCCCCAGTATGGCACATAACCTTTTTTAGAACATTGATGCATTGGCTGAGTTATACTTCGCAGTGCAAGGACTTCAAGTGTTGTACACTTCACTGAACAGCCCTTCACAACTGATTGGTTGGAAAGCAAAGGAAGGTGATCCTTGTGATGAATCATGGAAAGGGGTTATTTGTGTAGGCTCTTCTGTGGTCTCAATGTAAGAGCTTTCCTTCATTTAATCCGCATTTGGTCTAACTTCTTTGGCTGAAAGGGTCAAAGGGCTAAACTCTGCTGATTTTTTCGGAAATGATAAGCCTTTGGTAAAAACGCTTCCAGCAAAGTAAGGAGTGAAAGGCTTCTTATTCGGACTATTCTAACATAAAGCAGGATAAACAGAATAAGCTGATCCATGATACCAAACGGGGCCTTACATGTTTAGTCATTTCTAAGTGTATTGATGAATTGATGGATTTTTGGTGGAGCGCAGAGAAATTTCTGGGCTGGGGTTGAATGGAACATTGGGATACCTGCTCAATTCTCTTACATCATTGAAAGAACTGTATGTTTAGCTTGTTTGTTTTAGGCCGCTTAAATGTTTTTTTTGGATTTTCTTGATTATTAGCTGACTTGTTATTTTCATTTTGGCGGTTCTTAGGGATATGAGCGGCAACAACATTCATGATCTTATCCCATATCAGCTACCTCCAAATCTCAGAAGACTGTAATGTTCAATCATTAAGATATTTTCTGTTTGCCTTTCTGTGTATGTTTTTGTTCCTTTGCTATGTTCTTAGCTTTTTTTTAATTAAATCAGGAATCTTGCGAATAATAACTTAAGTGGAAGTATTCCTTATTCCATCACACTCATGACTTCTCTTCATTATCTGTAAGAGTGTTATCTTTTTTACTTTCTTAATGGAACCATTATATATTGTAAAAATATGCTGTTTTCTACTTTAATTTATTGAAATGACTCATCCTATCAGCAATGCCATGTCTGATTTAGGAATTTTAGCGGCAACTCTCTCGCGCAACCTATTGGAGATGTGTTTGCAAACCATTCTGACCTTTCAACGCTGTAAGGCATTTCAACATGTGACACTTCATTAACCTGTCCACTTTTTAAAAATTTCCATGGTCCTTTTTTTGGTCCATTTCAACTACCTTTGGAATCGTGATAGAAATGTGAAACTGCTGAGTAAGACAGTTTTTGATTTTTTGTATGTTTGGTTTTGCCTGTATGAAGTACAATCAGAATTGTTTCTTGCATGTGTTTTGCCTCTATTTCTAAGTAACAATTAAACACAATGAGTTTTAACAAATATCGAAAATTGATTTATTGAGTTTGGACTTTGGACCAATTTTTTAATAAATGAACTTTGAAGCTAAAATATAAATGCACAATAAAGCACATATTATATGAATTTCGTCATATTTTCTATGCAAATTGGAGAGATTGGGTTGAAAAGAAAAAATAAGTTATTTATCTCTCTTTATTTTCCATCCAAATCCAAAAGGGTAAAATAGTCATAATTTAATGTTTCCATACTTCTTTTCCTCTCCCTATATGTTTTTGTTCATTCTAAACATAGTGTAAGATTTCAAAGAAAATCACATTAGTGCATGAATTCATGCACCTATATCTTGAGATCCGGTTTTCATGTATCATGTATGCATTAACACTCTTATCCTTAGGGATCTTTCATCGAACAACTTCAGCGGTGATCTCCCACCTTCTTTGGGGTTGTTGTCAAATCTTTCAACATTGTGAGTCTGATGAGTTTGCTTTTATCAAGATAGTCTTCTCTGTTCCTTTGGCTAACTCATGATGTTTCTGCCCCTATTGGCAGTCGCATGCAGAACAACCGTTTGACTGGTACTCTTAACATTTTGGTTGGTTTACCTTTGACCGATTTGTAAGTTTTGACTCCGACTTTAAGTTTATGAAAGGTTGTGTGTGACTACTAGGGAAAATCTTGCATAAAATGGAAAATGAAAAAATCTGCCCTTAATGTTTGCCTCTAGTTCAGTCTAGTTCAGATTGGCCCTTGACAATTTTAATGCACCCAGTTTTTCCTCCAGCTAACTATTGGCCATTAATGTCTTCGTCCAAGTTCAGATTGGCTTCAAATGATAAAACAATCTTGTATTAATTTAAATATTTGAGTAAATTGTAAAATAAATAAATTATAGAAATTATTTTGCTAGTCATAAATCTTTTTTTTATAATAACTCATTTACACCACTACATCTACACTCCCACACACATAATACTCCCTCCGGCCAATTTATGAGACATATTAGGGTGGTCATAACTGTAAGTAATTTTGAATTACCAATACCTATTTGACTTTTTCTTCTGCAATTGTTATTGTCTCGTGAAAACTATGAAACATATATTTCCCATAAAATGATAAAGTGAATTTGTGTTAATTCAAATAATTGAATGTAACTTGTTAAAATTAATTAAAGCTATAGAAATGATTTTTTATAGTTTACACACATACACACACATACATACATATTACACATATATATTTACAATTTTACATATACATACATTACATATATGCTTACATATATACATATATATCTTAGTGTGTGTGTAAATATATGTATATGTATATATGTGTGTGCGTGTATGTGTGTGTATAGTACTCCTGGGTCCTGACTCCTGGCCCAAATTATGAGATGTATTAGGGTGGTTTTAAAGACCTAAACATAAGTAACTTTTGTATTATCAAGACCTCTTTAATTTGTCTTCTTCTTCTTCCACAAATGTCATTCTCTAAGGGAATATTATGAATGTCAAGATTATTCCAATTTTTTAATCATTTTCTTGGTTTGCCTTAAGGCCAAATTAGATTCTTATAAATGGGGAGGCGGGGGTGGGGGGGGGGTGGGGGTGGTGGGGGGGGATATTTGCTAAATATGAAAGATTGCAATCATCATTGGAATTGCTCAATTCTTTACAGGAATGTAGCAAACAATAGTTTCAGTGGATGGATACCAAATGAGCTCATTTCTATCCCCAAGTTCATGTAAGAATTATACTGACCAAAACCAATAATTAGGTCCTGTTTGGTAATGGCTGAAATGACGGAATGTGCTGATTTTCCTAAAAGGAGAAGTGTTTGGCAAAATTGGTTTCAACCATATAAGTAAGTCATAGGCTACTTAAATTATTCTGCTGATAAGCGGAATAAAAAGCCAATTAATGCTACCAAGCAGGCCTTATATATTCTCTTATTATAACATTCGAATCGTTTTTTCACTCTTGTATTTGATGACACTCCAACTGTGAAATAGATATGATGGGAATTCATTTGCCAATGGTCATGTTCCTCCTCCGCCACCATTTACCCCACCTTCTGCAAGTAGTCCCCACAGAAAAAACTACACTCCACCCGGACCACATGAAACTCCAAGTTCTGATGACAACCTATCCAGCAATCCAAACAAGGAAAAGGAAAATAGTGGAATTTCAGTTGGAGCTATCATCGGCATAGTTCTGGGGTCTTTATTTTTAGTTCTCTTGGCTATTCTTCTGATTGTATTTTTCCTCCAAAGGTTCCGGAAGAAGGAAATTGCAGCAAGGCCATCCATTGAAAGTCTTCATCTCAATGCAGATAAAGGTTCTCTCACTCACTCTCTCAAAGCTGCACAAAAAGGAGTTTTGTGAGGGTCTTACTTGAAACATAAAAGTATCAGATCCAAATGACTGCAACTCACAATCCATTATTTAAAAATGATGTATTTTGAGTCCTTTGAAATAGAATATGGCAATATTAAAAACATAATTGACAATGTTTTCCAATCATGACAATAATTACTCATATTTAGTGAAATAAAATTCAACATAGTACTTTTGTTTTCAAATTTCATATTGTTTTTACTCTTCCTCAACAACATCAACATCCAAACCTTAATCCAAAAAGAGATTGGGGTTGGCTAACATGAATCAACTTATGACGTCAGAGTTGAACTAATAAAGGGAAAAAGGTCAGATAAGTCCTCGAACTTACATAAAAAGGTCAAATAAGCCCTTGTATAGGAGCCTCTGTCTGGCCGTCGCCATTTGGGGCGGTTCCCAGTGGAATTTTTTGATGAATTTTTTGAGCATCTTATTCATTAAGTCTAGTTTACTCATACCAAATTTCAGCTAACAATTCAATCGGGAAGGCATTCAAATGAATTCTTGAAGATAATTGCGCACTTATCTTCAAGAATTCATTTGAATGCCTTCCCGATTGAAGTTTTACCTGAAATTTGGTATGAGTAAACTAGACTTAATGAATAAGATGCACAAAAAATTTCATCAAAAAATTCCACTGGGAACCGCCCCAAATGGCGACGGCTGGACAAAGCCTCCTATATAAGGGCTTATTTGACCTTTTTATGTAAGTTCGAGAGTCTATCTGACCCTTTTCCCACTAATAAATAATACTCCCTCCGTCCCCCTAAGATTGTGTCATCTTTGCTTTTCGATCCATCCGACTTAGATGGTCTCATAACAAATTTGGTAAAATTTGTGTGGTTCTAAATCATTCTGACTTTATTCTTAATTTATCAATTCAATATCAAAAATCACATAAACCCACTTTTGTTAATAACCACATCACCTCCTCATGCCCATTAATAGTAGGATGAAGGTAGTGATGATGATAATGAATAATTAGAGAGACAAAGTTAGATCAATCCTCCACAGGTATTACTCTCCCTCCACTCCGTTCTCTCAAAACTCGAACTGTCATTTAACCCAAAGTACCATATCATTCTTCATCACTCTAGTTCATGTTTGTCTAGGTCGTCCCCCCTCCTACCTTCCTTCCCCCCACCCCTCAATTTGTCTAATAGGCGCATCACTCAGTCCCCTATACACATGACCGAATCATTGCAGTCGAGCTCTCGCATTATCATAGGTGTTAATGTTACTTCCACTTTTTGTCTGATTGTCATATTCCTCATGGAGTCTTTTCTAGTATGTCTACACATTTAATGCAACATGTGCATCTCAGTCACATTCATCTTTTGAATGTGACACTGTTTCACCGTCCAACACTCTACGCTTTACAATAATGCAAGCCTAATTATGTCCAATAAAACTTACCCTTCAGTCTAGTTAGCATACCTCAATCACATAAGACTCATGATGCACCCTTCCGTTTCATCCATCTTATTTTGATTCTATGGAATACATCTCGATCTAATTCAACGTCATTTTGAAATATAGTACCTAGGTAATGGAACATATCACCGACCACCATCTCCTCATCATCCAGGGTAATCCCTGAATTACCATTGTTCCTACCCCACTAAACTTGCACTCGATATACTCGGTTTTGCTTCGGCTAAGTTTGAGGCGCTAGCTCTCCAAGGTTTGTCGACATACTTCCAGCTTCTCTTCAGACCTGATCTTGTGATAGAGGCCTCGTACTATCAGCACAATCACAAATACAAGTAGCAACCACAGATCACAAGTAATCTTAGTAAACGGAATCACAGAACTCAGAAACAGTAATTATCATTGAAACAAGAAGAAAGAGAATACAGTTCCACAGAAGGAGATAAAACTCCAACTGCCCAATCCCAACCAAAGCGTCTAACTGCCTACCTTTCCCCAGCAGCTTATTCTACTATTTATACCCTTCCACAACCGTATGGTATTTATTAGAGAAAACAATTCCCTTACTAATAACTAATTAGTCCCCTTTGACTTTCTAGAATAGACAAGCCCTTTAAATCTATTCTTATCATTTAGATTAACCGGATCCTTATCAATACCCCCCTTTTGAACTATCAACTTGCCCTCAAGTTGAAAATCAGGAAATTGATCTTGGATCATCTGCATATCCTCCCATGAGTCTTCAAAGTCAGGAAGACCTTTCCAGTGAACCAGTATCTCCTTCTTCCCTTCCTGACTAATCCTGAAATCTCTCACATCTTCAGGTCTCACTTGCAGCTCACACCCTTCTGTGATGCAATTTGGGAGGTTTTGGTATGTTACAGTAGGTTTCAGAACTTTCTTTAGCAAGGATATGTGGAAAATTGGGTGTATTCTACTTCCTTCAGGTAATCTGAGTCTGAAAGCTACTGGACTGATTTTCTCTGTAATTTCATATGGCCCATAAAATCTTGGACTTAGTTTTTGATTGATTTTCCTAGCCAAGCTTTTCATCTTATATGGCTGAATCTTCAGAAAAACCTTATCTCCAACTTCCAGCTTTTCTTCTCTCCTATGTTTATCAGCCTGTTGTTTCATCATATTCTGAGCCTTGGCCAAATTCTCCTTCAGTTTAGATAGCATATTATTCCTTTCTGCAGTCAACCTTGCCACTTCTTCTACTGCAGTTAGATTTACATCACCCCTGATGATACTTGGAGGCTGCTGCCCAAACAAAGCTTGATAAGGAGTACTCTTCAAAGAGCTGTGATAGTTTGTATTGAACCAATATTCAGCCCAAGGAAGCCATTTCACCCATTGTCTAGGCTTGCTTCCAGACAAACACCTCAAATAAGTTTCTAAGCATCTGTTCACCACTTCCGTCTGCCCATCACTTTGAGGGTGATATGCAGTACTGTACTTGAGTGTGGTTCCAGCTAGTTTGAACAATTCTGACCAGAAGGAGCTCAAGAAGATACTATCTCTATCACTAACAATTGATTTTGGAAATCCATGGATCTTTACTACCTCCTGCACAAAACTTTCAGCCACATCTTTGGCATTGAAGGGGTGTGCCAAAGGTATGAAATGTGAAAATTTTGTCAATCTGTCCACCACCACCATAATAGTATCCATACCTTGAGATTTTGGCAATCCACCAATGAAGTCCATGCTAATATCAGTCCACACATGATTGGGTATAGGTAAAGGCTGCAGTAATCCTGCTGGTTTCAGAGCTTGGTACTTGTTCCTTTGACAGATTTCACACCCTTGTATGTAGTCTTTTATTTCAGATTTCATTCCCTCCCAAAAGAACAAACTAGAAATTCTCTTCATTGTTCTAAAGTACCCAGAATGACCACCTATTGCTGAATCATGATATTCCTTCAATATAGTGAGAATTCTGTGGGATCCTTTTGGCAGCACTAGTCTTCCCTTATAGTAAAGCAATCCTCCTTTAAGTTTGTAGTCTGAATGCTGATCTGGCTGTATCATCACCTTCTGTATTACTTGCTTCCACTTCTTATCTTTCTCCAATTCATCTGTTAATCCTTCCCAATCTGCACAAGTCACTGTAGATAAGGCTGCATAGGTAAACTTTCTGGAAAGGGCATCAGCTGCTTTGTTTTCTACCCCAGGTTTATATTTGATTATGAAGTTGTACCCCATAAGTTTAGCTATCCATTTTTGTTGGCCTTCTCCCATCAAGGTCTGTTCAGTCAAGTGTTTCAGACTACTCTGATCAGTATGAACCTCAAAACTCCTTCCCAAAAGGTAAGGTCTCCATTTTTGAATAGCAAAGACAATAGCCATCAATTCCTTTTCATAAACTGACTTAGACAAATGCTTAGGTGACAACTCCTTACTCATGTAAGCAATGGGACCCCCGTCTTGCATGAGAACTGCCCCTAATCCCTTCCCGGAGGCATCAGTTTCTACTATGAAAGTCTTATTAAAATCTGGAACTCTGAGAACAGGCACAGTGGTCATAGCTATCTTCAGTTCTTCAAATGCTTTACTGGCTGTATCATTCCAATTGAACCCATCTTTCTTTAATAATAATGTTAAAGGAGCAGCAATATGACTGTATCCTTTAACAAATCTTCTATAGTACCCCGTTAGGCCTAGAAAACCCCTCAGTTCTTTCAGATTTTTTGGTATGCTCCATTTCACCATAGCTTCTATCTTACTTGGGTCAGCAGCTACCCCTTCTGAAGAAATTATATGGCCTAAATAACTCAATTTTGTCTGCCCAAAATAACATTTCTTCTGATTTGCTACAAGCTGATTCTCCTGTAAAGCCTTCAATACCTTCCTGAGATGTTCTTTATGTTCATCCTTAGTTTTGCTGTAAACTAGGATATCATCAAAGAACACAAGAGAGAATTTCCTCAAGTAGGGCCTCAGAACTTCATTCATGAGAGCTTGAAATGTTGAAGGGGCATTAGTTAATCCAAAAGGCATAACTACATATTCATAATGACCTGCATGTGTTCTAAATGCAGTTTTATGTGCATCACAATCCTTCATTCGAATCTGATGGTATCCTGATTTGAGATCCAATTTAGAAAAGATCCTTGCACCCCCTAACTCATCCAATAACTCTTCTATAATTGGAATGGGAAACTTGTCAGGAATGGTGATTTTGTTTAGGGCTCGGTAATCCCCACAAAACCTCCAGCCCCCGTCTTTCTTCTTAACTAACAACACTGGGCTACTATAGGGACTGTTACTATTTCTGATGATTCCAGATTGTAGCATCTCCTTTATAATATTTTCTATCTCATTCTTTTGGTCAAAGGTGTACCTGTAGGGCCTCAGGTTTGGTATATTGGCTCCTTCCTTGATGACAATGGCATGATCACAATTCCTAGCTGGAGGAAGCTTCATCTGGGAAGTGAAGACTTCTGGAAATTCAGCCACCACCATACTCCAATCTTCATCACTCTCCTTACTCAGTTCTTTTTCACCCATCTGTCCTTCCAAATACAACAAAAAAACCATCCCCAATCTGTTGTAACAACTGTGTCACAGTCTTCAAGGTTACCTCCAACTGATTCAATGTTAAGTCTCCCTTCAATGTACAATTCTTCCCTTTCTCATTCCATTTCAAAATCTTCCTCTTGAAGTTCACCTCCATATCTCCCAAACCTGTCAACCACTCCATTCCCAACACTAAATCAATATCTCCCAACTCCACAATGTAGTATGTCTGTTGAATCTCAATCCCCTGCACATTCAATTTCATTCCATTACACCTACCATTGTTGGAAATACAAGCTCCATTACCTATCTGCACTTTATACCCTGGAATGGGAGCAAAAGGTATCTGCCACTTCTCAATTATCTTTTGCGACACAAAATTATGAGACGCCCCACTATCAATGAGGATGTTGACCATCTGTTCCCCTCCGGGCCAGAGCATCTTTCCCTTTACTTTAAAAGTATTCATAGTAGGAATTCCTTCCTTGCTGAGTACAGATAGCTGCATTGTCTTAAGTTCGAATGGTGGATTCTGATCTTCAAACTCCTCCCTAGGTTCTTCTTCAGATTCTTGTTCCCCTTCAGATTGTTCTACAAGTATCATCTTGTAATTCTTCATCTTGCACACATGCCCTCTTCCCCAGTTATCTCCACACTTGAAACATAATCCTTTTCTACTTCTTTCCAGTAATTCTCCTTTAGATAGCCTGGGACCCTCCCTTCTGAAGTTTAGATTCTTGCTTTCTTCATTACTTTTAGAATCTCCTGAACTTTTTTCCAGATTAGTAGTAGGGTAATTTAAGCTCTTCCATCTACTCCCTTCTCCCCATTTCTGGCCTGAATTAGGAATGCTAGGTTTATTCTGCCCCTTCTTCTTTGCTTCCTCCTTATTCTTCATAAACATAGCTTCCGAATTCTTATTCTCAATTAAAGAAGCAGTGTCCATCACTTCTGCAAGATTTCTAGTGCGATACAGCTTCAGTTCTGCCCTCACATCTCTTTTCAAACCTTTCAGAAAAACTCCTTTCAGCACTTCTTCAGTCAGATGCCCCTGAGATGCGATAGCAGTCTCAAATTTATCTCTATATTCCTGGATTGTTCCCTTCTGCTTTAGACTTAGCAAAGGTCCTAAAGGATCCTGTACTAAATCCGGCTGAAACCGTTTGGTTAAAGCTTTAGTGAATGTATCCCAGTTTTGTTGCAATGCTTGTCCTTCCCACCATTGGAACCAGCTGAGTGCTTGGTCCTCCATAGCAATCACCGCTACATCAATTTTATCCACTTCCTCAGTTTTGTTCAATCTGAAGTATCGGTTCATTCTTAGCAACCATCCGCAGGCATCCTCTCCGTTGAAAATTGGCAGATCAATCTTCCGGCCAGCTTGGTGGTGATTCCTTTGGTTGCGATGTTGTTCATGTCTCGATATAGAATGATCCGAATGACTATCGTTGCTTTCTGAGCTTTCATCATGCCTCGATCGTCTGTGTCTATTCGAGCGATGAGATGTACTCGATCGATGTGATCGGCTCCTCGAACTCCTTGTTCGCTCGATCTGTAACTTCGCGATATCAGCTTGCATCGCTGCCTGCATCGCCGCCATTCTCTCCACCAAAGTATTCTGCATCTCTTGCATATTTCTCTCCGTCCTTTCTTCCAAGTCGTTGATTCTGCCTTCCATCTTCGAACGCGTGAATCTCATCCAGCGATCGACTCGCTCTGATACCAATGATAGAGGCCTCGTACTATCAGCACAATCACAAATACAAGTAGCAACCACAGATCACAAGTAATCTTAGTAAACGGAATCACAGAACTCAGAAACAGTAATTATCATTGAAACAAGAAGAAAGAGAATACAGTTCCACAGAAGGAGATAAAACTCCAACTGCCCAATCCCAACCAAAGCGTCTAACTGCCTACCTTTCCCCAGCAGCTTATTCTACTATTTATACCCTTCCACAACCGTATGGTATTTATTAGAGAAAACAATTCCCTTACTAATAACTAATTAGTCCCCTTTGACTTTCTAGAATAGACAAGCCCTTTAAATCTATTCTTATCATTTAGATTAACCGGATCCTTATCATCTTGTCTCATCAGTCAACATAATATCATTGAAAACATTATGCACCATGGTATATATTCTTGAATTGACTTCATGAGTTCATTCATGACCGTAGATGAACTCACAAAGTCAATTCAAGAAGATATACCATGGTTCATAATTCATGAGTTTTTAGCCATAAATTGATAGTCTAAAATAATAATTTTATTTTTCAAGATCAACAATTAACCTATCTTTTGGGGCCTACATCAATAAAAGTCAAACAAAAGCTCCAAATAAAATATCTGAATTTTTTATTGTTCAAAACTGAGATGCGTCTTCTTGGGTTGGATGAGAGTATGGCTTTGGAGAGGGCAAAGTGGAGGGCGCACATTCGTGTGGATGATTGATCTCTTTTCTATTTTTCCTCGCTCTTTTTCTTTTATCGTTTATTTTCTTTGTTTGTTAATGTTCCTATGTTATTTTCATCTTCTAGCTTTTTTATTCTCCTTTTATCTTTTAATCTTTTATCTTTCTTATATTCTTATGTTATTGTTATCTTACATTTATTTAACTTTATCTTATCCGTTTTATCCTTTCTTCTTCTTCTTGCCCATCTTCTCTTTTTGGCATCGATATCATGGATCGTTTCATGTTAGCCGACCCCAAAATCTTTTGGGATGCTTGGATGTTGTTGTATATAATATAGGCAAGAACGCAGTCAATTTCTCATTCATCTTCAATTCATTGAATACAGAGTTGCTAGATGTAAGAGAAAGGTCAACTTCTAGAATAGTAGACATGAAGCTCCCATCAACAGAGAAATCCATGATTGAAAAGATGCAAGGGAAGAATGGATCTCTAAGAAGACCCCCTTTTATTGCTTCTCCTTACACTGTTGCAGCACTTCAATCAGCTACAAACAGTTTTAGTCAAGAAAATCTTATTGGTGAGGGCTCTCTTGGGCGTGTCTATAGAGCAGAATTTCCTTATGGAAAGGTAGATTTCTATTACCCTAACATTCGGATTTCATTGGAAAATCATTGTGAATCATAGTTTTCATGAGTAGATAATTGGTGTGGAACCATTGTTTATAATAAGATCTAAATCATGAGTGTGTTCCACAATTCTTGTCCATCAGGTTTGAGTTAGTTGAGTGTAGTATATATTCCGTTTCAAAACCAGTTTCATTAGGTCCAGGTACTGCATTTAAATTTACCAAAGTACAACATGTAAAAGTCATGATATTATATATACTACTACAAATTCTAATGGTTTTATTCCATAAAATGTACCCTATTTAACATGTTTGCAAACTATTTTTTGGATAATTATTGGCAAATGACATGAAAAATTAGCTTCCTTTGATGAAACAAGACATTTTTGGGACAAGAGAAGTAAGAGTGAGGTCAAACTCAGCTCATGAAGATCCTTTTGGGGTAAGTTAGGTTCAATTTAACACAGGATGGAGTTTCGTATGATGGTGGTTTGTAGATACCGTCCACTCAATGGTTAAAAGAAACCTATTTGGGGGTCAATTTGGAACCACTTGACCACCGCTATGGTTATCCATGGACTGAGGAGGTGTGTTGCGCATCCTGCATTGATTGTCCTCTAGGTTTAAGTGTAGTAGATAAAATTGAGAGGCAAGTTTTGCCTTTTTAGGATCCTTTTGGCTGAGTTGGGCCTGATTCTACATACACCATTGAATTTGATTAAAAATTTATTTGAACAGTTTTTGTTTGTCTCTTAAGGATTCATTTAGGGTGAGACAGTGAATTAAGCCCAGTTTAACATTAACTAGTGAGTTTGAACAATAAGTAACCAAATTCTGTAAACTTCTATGTTTGTGTTGTGCTAGACACTGGCCATAAAAAAGATAAACAGTGCAGCATTATCACTGCAAGAGGAAGACAATTTTCTAGAAGCCGTTTCGAGCATGTCAAGGCTGAGACATGCCAATATTGTCCCGCTTGTGGGATATTGTGCAGAGCATGGACAACGTCTTCTTGTCTATGATTATATTGGAAAAGGTAGCTTGCATGATATGCTGCATTTGGCTGACGAGAGGAGCGAACTGCTGACTTGGAGTGCACGTGTAAGAGTAGCACTTGGCACTGCTCGAGCTCTAGAGTATGTTAAATATGCATCATTTTTATAGTAGTTTTTTATAAATTATTTACTCTGTCCCTCATACACATTCCCCATGTAACTTGGCGCAGTTTTTATAGAGCCTATTTTCTGATTAATTTCAAAACTTGCCCTTATGTTAGTGGTTGGTAGCAATAGTTGTGGTACGCCGAGATATTAATAAAGGTAGGAAAATAAATTGACAACTTGTTTTTACTAAATAGGGAAAGAGAGATTTATTTAGGGACAGGCGTAAATGAAAGCATCAATGTTATTTAGGGAGAAAATGGTCAAAATGGTACATGAAGTTGTTTTAAGTGGAGTAAGTAGTACTCCATCTTACACTTGAAACTACAAAGCACACGAACTTGCACTTTTAAAGTCGATTAAGGTCAAATAAGGCCTTCTACTATTACGAAATCGTCACATAAGGTCATGTACTCAATAAAGTGTCATATAAATACGTCTACTTATAAAAAACAATCAAATGAGTCAAAACGATCTATTGACAACCTCATAATGCCGATTTTAGCTTACACGTCGTTATTTTTGCCTCGTATTTAAGCCAATCATGGCCAAATATTTCACGTCAGCCTTATAATCTATTTTATCTATTTTCAAAAGATAGCCAAATGTACGCTAAAATCGGGATTACGTGGTTGTTTATAGGTTGTTAGGACTCATCCGATTGTTTTTCATAAGTAGACGTATTTATATGACATTTTATTGAGTACATGACCTTATGTAACGATTTCATAATAGTAGAAGACCTCATTTGACCCTTTTCTCAAAAAATACAGGGTCACGGGGAGGAGGTTTTCCTTTTTGCTTTTATACTATTGTTGATCTCCTGTGCATTTAATGCATTCATTGAATTGATCAATTCATTTTTCTTTTTTTGGGAAAATACGGCAAATATACGTCTTATACGGGAAGTATGAGCTTTTTTCCTTTTTAAACGGACCGACCGTATTTTTTGTTTTCAACGCGTTTTTTTGTTCAAAAAACGGTACGTGTTTAAAACGCATTTAAAACGAAAAAAAGCCGACTAGAGTAGGGAGTACGTTATGATTTTAATAACTAATCACTACTTCTTTTGTTCACCAACTAAACATGGGTTGAGTTGATCAGATACTTGCATGAAGTGTGTTTGCCATCAGTTGTGCATAGAAACTTCAAATCAGCGAACATTTTGCTAGATGAAGAGCTCAATCCTCACTTGTCTGACTGTGGTTTGGCTGCTTTAACACCGAACACAGAGCGCCAGGTCAGTGATGCATTGCACTCTGTCACTTCACTGTTTATTTTTCTTTTATCTATAAACACAAATGTTCTATAATCGCAAGACAAGGCACCATGTAGGCATGTAGTCATCTTCCATGCTTTTAGTGAAGAACTTTTTCCATGAAAATAGCTTATAAACTTCCTACTAGTTAAACTTTTTATTTAGCTAATATGTAATGAAATAATTAATAAAAGAAAGAAAAATAAAATACAAGCTTATGCATTGAATGCTTGATACCCAAGCATACAATCCTATGTAATTGCTTTAATATTTTTCTATCATTTTGTGTATGGCCAGTGTCTAAAAAATGTCAAACTCTCATCTGTGTCCCCTAATACGTCTACAGATTACAGCGACACATATGGTTGGTTCATTTGGTTACAGTGCCCCTGAGTTTGCGTTATCTGGAGTATACACTGTGAAGAGTGATGTGTATAGTTTTGGCGTGGTAATGTTGGAGTTATTGACCGGAAGGAAGCCACTTGATAGGTTAATATCACTTCTAGTTTTCTTTTTCTCTCTAATCATCATCATCAACATTACCCTAGTGCCGCAAAGGCTCCCACCTACAGTGGGGTAAGGGGGGGTCGGATGTACACAACCTTACCCCTGTACTAAAGTACAAAAACTGTTTTCGGATGACCCATACTGAAAATCGCGTCGAAAATTGCATGGACGGACTGTTGCTTCATAACAAAGAAGCGCAGACAGTTTAGTGAGCCATTTTGCTTAATATCATCATATTCCCAAGCCAAAAATAGTGAGTCTTTGGCTCCATTACAAATGATGGAACATCTTTTTCTCTTTAATGCACGACAATAATCACTGTGCTGTGATTATTACCCCTACAATGTTTATAATGTTCTGTGTTGGTTGTAGCTCCAGGGATAGATCAGAACAGTCACTTGTGAGATGGGCAACACCTCAACTTCACGATATAGACGCCTTGTCAAAAATGGTTGATCACACATTGAATGGCATGTATCCCGCGAAGTCCTTGTCCCGTTTTGCTGACATTATTGCCCTTTGTGTTCAGGTAAAAATTAAAAATTAATATGTTATGAGCGAGACTGGGATATCATCCCAGGTCTCGGATGAATGAATGAGAGGTAGAGCTGCTCATAGTCTATAGAGTTTCAGATGGGTTGCTTATGAGAGAGATAGAGCTTCATTTAGGCTTGAGGTCATAATGTCATATTAGTCGGTGCTTGCTTTCGTGGTAGTTTATTAATGAGAACCCTCAAATAGCTACTTCAAGACCCCTGATCATAATGGAAATATCAAGCTAAAGGTTAGTAAGAAGCTAACTAAAATTGAGGTCAAAATACATGTAAAGTCCTATTATATCACTTGTTGATTTTGTTCTTTTTAGGTCACCTTTCCAATTGTGTCCAGTTTAGTCTCTGTGCTTGTATATTTTAATACAACAGGGACTATACACTGTTAATTATCTCAGTTTACTTTTATTACATGCCGCTGATATCACTTATTATAGTCCAAAGACTGAGTTGAACTCGTTTAAAGTAGAGCCACTATAATGAACAAAGTTACATTGTAGAGGCACCTCCTAGGTATTTTAGGCCCAAATTTGAAAATGGAAATACCGGTATTATAACAACAACAACAACAACCATAATAATAATAATAATTGTCTGAGATGGCCTCATTAACTCTCCCTTGAGAGTTGAGACCAATACTACCTTTCTGTGGTTTCTTCTCGGAGATTCAGAGCTAACAGTTTACGGTTAAGCCCCCATCATTGCTCAAAGTGCTCTGTTTTTACGTGTGATTGTTTTAAGCCACAAAGTGGTAGTAGTAGTTTTTTCTTTTGTCTTTTGCTGAGAATTAATTACACCTTCACGAGTTGGGGTAGGCACTCGACACTCCATCACACAAGTTATTCTCTTGTGCAGCCTGAACCAGAGTTTCGGCCACCCATGTCCGAAGTGGTGCAAGCGTTGGTCCGGTTAGTCCAACGAGCAAGCGTAGTTGTAAGACGGTCCAGTGATGACTCGGGATTTTCGTTCAGGACTCCAGATCATAATGACCTCACCATGGACATGCCATAGTAGAGTAACCTCTGCAATTTTGCAAGTAACATCAGCAGAGGCACATGGCGAGAGCAGGTTTAAATTGAACTGACACGATCACATGAGAGAATTGCAGGTGGCTGATATAAAATGAGAAGAAGAAAGTTGTGAATAATTATGTCAGCATTTTTAACTCAAGGTAAATAAATTTAATGACAGGAAAATATTTTCTGTGCATCTACTTGAAATCCTGAACATCTTGGGAACAGAAATGGTGCGCCATTTCATTGTTGATACATTTAGACCCCGTTTGGTAGCACAAAAATTGGCTGTTTTGGCTGATTCTGATGAAATGTATGAAGTTCTGGCTGAAGTGACTGCATTGGCTGATTCTGCTGATTTAATAAAAAAAAATTTTAAAAATATATTTTATTAATAACATAAAGAAAAAATTATATGTAAAAATAGCTAAAATAGTCATCTACAGTAACTTCAGCCAATACAGCCAGAAAATTAACTTCAACTTTACTTTTTCTGCTTATTACACAATTCAGCGCGCGAAAGCAAAAATTGCGTGTTTGGTGAAAAAGTTGGCTGATAAACCTATAAGTCAAAAAACTGGGTTACTTAGTTACTGCATTTTTACCATTAGAAGCTCAATATTGTCATTTATATGTACACAAATGCAAACACCGATCGTATATACAACACATATCATGTTTTATGTGTAGGGTTGCACCTAAAACAAGATTGGGAGATGCCTTTGAATAAGAGTAAAAAATACCACTTCTCCTCAATAGTACTCCGTGCTATAAAACAACTAGAACTTTAAAACCTTCTATTATCAAAATTCCCTTATTATAATATGGAGCATCTATATTATTATATTTATATATAAAAACGGAATAGTGGGAGAGGGGAATGGGCGGGAATCTGAAAACAAAATTTGCTTGATTTGCTGGAATAAAATCGTATTTTTTTTTTTGAATTGAAAGAACTGGCAGCAAAAAAATACACAAGCATTTGTGAAGCGTGATGAATAAATGCATAACCGTCATTATATTTTTCTAAGGCACTTACATTTAAAGGTACTTATACACTGACTTTTCGAGTATATACATTTGTTAAATACACTGACATTATTTAACCCTGTTTGTTAGCATATGAAATTTCAAAAAGCCACATAAGAGTATATATGTCTGTAGAAATTCTATCCAAGTCACATTGTCGATACAAATTGGTTTGTAATCCTGTGAAGATAATATTTCTTCAGACAATCACTTATTCGAGGATGAAAAGGTATCATACGGGGATTGATCTCTCATTCTCTCATATGAGTAAACTCTTTTTTTTAAGAAATATATATATAATCTACTATGTACTCAACTTTTCTATCTTCTGGTACGGTTTACAAAAAATACTTTCTAGAACATTATTACGAGAGCATGCATACAAATATTTCGAAATGCAAAAAAACAAGTAATTGTAGAGTCGAATAGTAGTCCAATGTCCATTATTGGTGTTTGACATTAGCCTGGACGACGAGGATGATCACCATATACTAACCTGACAGCCACAAAAATTAGAAGATACTTCAATTCGTACAGTCCATGTAGGTGTATAAATGTTTACGAATTTTTGGAAAATGTATTAACGCAAAGAAATAGAAATGAAAAGTAAACCAAAACTTACTCTTCTTGAATAGACAGATCTGAGCAATGTGCATTTTTTTAGTCTCCCATTTGATTTTTGATCTTCATCCGAGTTTCCATCATTTGCAATGGAGCCAAAGATTTATTATTTTTTGACTTGAAAATAAGATGAAATAAAGCAAAATGGGTCACTAAACTGTCTGCGCTTCTTTGTTATGAAGCAGCAGTCAGTCCATGCATTTTTTGACGCGATTTTCACTATGGGTCATCCGGAAACAGTCTCTCTGTGCTTTAGTACAGGGGTAAGACTGCGTACATCCGACCCCCCCTTACCCCACCATAGGTGGGAGCCTTTGCGACACTAGGGTAAATGAAAAAAAATCCGACATTCTAATATTTTTGATATCATGTTGGACGTCTATACTTGGCTTTTAGATTTTCTAAATTAGAGAATAACTTTTGGGATTGGAAAGGCAGAGATTTACGAGGATTTCAGGTATTTTGCTGAAGTAGCTAGCTGAGATGGAGAAATTGCCAGATTGTGTTGGATGTGAGGTTAATTAAGATTTCAGAACATAGTTTTGTTATTAAATACTCCTTACTATCGTACTTTTTTTTATTAATTGATAATCACTATGCCCTCAAGTGCTGTTACGATTTTTGTAATTATAAGAGATACGTAGTACTACGTATTATAGTAGTTACTTCAACGTGTCATTTACAAAGGTAAAATGTGTTTTTCATTCTAAAAAGTAAAGACCAGTAGAACGATTAAATAATAAAATGGAAGATTTAAATGATATATAGAGATTTTTTCAAATACTATTGAAATAAAGTTTATATATATAATAACATGGTTAAAGGTACTATGGGTATAATGGTACGTTCACTTACGTGTAATCAAAATGAGACAAATTAATTATTATGACTAACATTCATTTTTTTCTGGAGAATTCAATTATTTATCACTTTATCTATGCTAACACACCATGTAATGATAATATAATTCGATAATAAGATATTTAGTAATATTGATCCCACTTTTGATCAGATAACTAATTATTCGATAATATTCACAAGTGCAAATTTCACTTTTAAATGAATACCGGATATCAATGTATGTACAATGGAACTAAATAGGGCCGCGGATTAAAATAACATGTTTTGGAAGCGATAAGTCTAGCAAGGATAAATGGAGATGAAAAGGATTTAATATAGAAAATGCTTAATTTTTTTAGTGAGTAACGTAAGACCATTTCTCATAGAAACAATTGTTGCAAAAACCTACTGAGTATGTTTATTCATGTCCATTATTTGTTTCTCTTACACGTTTTACTAATTGCGATGTTTATGAATTCAACATGTGAAAAGAATGATGAATATAATGATTAAAAACAAATATGTGTCTCATGAAGTCTTCAGTTAATTTTAAGTATAAACTTTGCTTATAATAGATATATTAAAATTATATCCCGTGCATTGCACGGTATAATACTACGTACTAGTTTTTATAAAGCAAGGATCTGACGGCGTGCACGTTGAAGAATAAACGACAACATAAAGAAATCTTTCTTTGGAATTGCTTTAGTATCATTTTGTTACCAATTCGTTTTCAACTTACCGGTTAACTATCACAAATTCATAATAGGAGTCCTCGACCAATTTCATTTTTATATTATTTGAGAGGTTATTACGTACTAGCTTTGTCCTCGCTTAAATTTCCTTAAACTACACCTTTACAGACATGGGTTTGGACTTTTGAAAGCGGACGGGTAGGCAGTCTTGCATGCCTAGGGTAAAAGGCGCGGCATTTCGTCCGTATAGTTTTGGGGCATCGCTAACTTTTCTTCGAACAAAGCAGAAACTTTGCAAGGATTCGGGCGGAAGCTTCTTCAGTCGTCAACAACAGCAGGGGATCGAAGGTTCCATGTGACAAGGGCTAGAGGACAAACCGGGTTCGAAGGTCTCAGCGCACTGCTTGGGTTCCAACAGGGGTGTGATGGTTTTGTTCAAGGTTTTCGGCTTGCGGCGGGTTACGTTTGAGATTTCAGTTGGCGAAAACAGAATCAAGGAGGGCGGTGATGAAGGATAAGCGCATACCCCAGCGGCAGGAAGAGATCGAAGTTTATGAAAGGATGAAGATGGAGGAAGAAGAGCAAGTCAGGGACAACCAGTGGATCTATGATCGGTTGGACTTGAATGAAGAGGGAGGAGCGTTATTGATTTGTCCCCTCCTGAACCGTCGCCAGAGAAGAAACGAGCGATTGGGGTTTGGATGTTTCACTTAGTTATTTTTGCTTGTTTCAGTCATATTTTTTTTGTTCAGCACTTTCAGTTTATTTATGCTTTGTGGTTTTAGTTTTTACTTTAGGAGAAAGTGATCAGGCTATTTCAGCCGATAATAGCTTTGAATCTCTCGCATGTTCTACAATTATTCTTGCTCATTATTGGACAGTGTATTGCTCATTATTTGAATCTCTCGCATGTATTCTATGTCTGATTAGAGAGTGAGAGTACCTATTGGTTATAAGGAGTCTAGCGGGAAGAGTTGGGCGCTTGGAAGGGTGAATGTTTGGATGCTTGTTTCAAAGAGTTTAATATAAGCAGTTTGTGTTTCCTACTAAAAAAATTGCAGATAAACTATTTTTGTACAAAACATAAATCACAAAACATTAATTTGAGATGTAGTGATGTATGTTTACATTTACTAAATTTGAGATTTAATTTTAGATATACAAAACTTATATCACCAAACATAAATCAACACAATAGAATGATGTATGAATCAAACCATACTTCAGACTGATTTGATCTGGTACCGGTTTTCATTTTATGAGAACCGCTCATGACATGGCTTGGGACCAGTATGATCCGATTCGGGACAAAAATTGAGATCTGTTTCAAACCCCGTTTTTCAGTTCGATACCATATTGGTCCGATTCGATACCATGCCGGTTTGATATTTTTGTCCACCCCTGCATAAGATGTTATCCATTTTGATTTTGAAGCCATGCCCCCATGGTAACTTGTTTCTTCGATCAATTTTTATATCAAACAAGTAACTTTTTATTTTATGCGCTTAAAAGCTACTCGACAATGATGGCTATTTTATTATTATATACTACCTCCGTCCCATATTTATGTTCATAGTTCGGTTTACGATGCTTGACTGACGATAAAGCAACTCGATCCCTGTTCACACTCGAATTATTTTTAGTAAATAAAATTTACATATTCAGAAACTACATTAAAACCGCTACAAAGCCTGATCAAGAAAATTTAAGTTTGATAAAAATTTGATATATAAAGTAAAAGATTAAGAGTAATTTGAGTTGACCATGTGAATAGTAACTATGAAGATAATTTTGGGACGGAGGGAGTACCTAATATAGCTTTCTTGATTTTAATAATAAAATACTCTGTATTTTTCCAAAACATACTCTCTCTTTTTTTTCTAAATTTAATTGATGCAATCGATTCATTCGTCCAAAATCAATATTGCTACAATTTGAATAGAAAAAAAGATGAATTGATGGCTCCAATTGATGCATCTAATCAACACAAATTATAAATAAAAAAAGACATTTCAAAACCAATGCATGAATCAATCCTCATATAATTTGGTGGAAAATAAGGTCCCGAGATTAGAACGTCTCCCTTCACCGGAGACTCCACTGCCACTAGCAGGGGAGTCTGAAGCCTTCATGGTCAACACT